TCTGGCTCTACCGGAACTTGCTGTGTAGACCAGACAGGCCTCGGATTCCCGAAGTCCACCTGCAATTCAAGGTGTGAACCACACACAACATCCAGCTCAGGTCCCTTTATAATCCTTAAAACATGAGTGTGCCAGTGACATCTCAGTCCAAAATGTTGCCTTTGAGCCATGGAACACACTTTCTTACATGGCAGTATTTGGATGTCCGGACCAATGCCCACGTAGCTCGTGATTGGCTTGCATCTGTGTTCAGATGGCTTGAAAGTGAAGAATAACACGGCTTTAATTAGTGAATTAATTTCTTATTTTTGAATTTTATTATTTTTAAATGATTCAAGAAATCAAGAGACGTCTTCTAGGGGCCTGGTATCCAGGGCGTGCAACTCGGATTCCAGCGTCTGAGGGGCGTCTTCTGACCTCCGTGCCCATACTCGCGTGCCCTTATCCCCCACAGACTCACACATATGCATACAATTAAAAAATAAAATGAATCTAAAAAGAAAAAAAAGCGTGAGAATAGTATCCCTAGGTACAGGGGTAGATACCAGTTCAGATACCAGTGTCCTTTAAATACAGTTTATTGGAGTGCATGGGCCATAACATAACATAATATAACCTAACACAACATAACTAACACAACACAACATGACACAGCCTAACACAAAACATCCATGCTTTGCCTGGAGCTGCTTTTAAGTAACAATGGTGTGCATGGTCATGGACCACAGAGCCTGAGACATTCGCTATCTGATGAGCCCCGCCCTGAATAAATAAAGGGGTGGGGACAGTCTCAGCTTGCCTGTCCATCTGTGGGACCGACCGGTAAATGAAAGGAAGTGCTGGGAAGCCTTGCTGGTGTTTAATTAAGGATGTGAACTTTCCCGGCAACTTTATCATCATTGTCATTGTGCTTTGAGTCCTTCTGTTTGCTTAGGAACGTGCACCCGGGTCTCAGCAGCAGCTATGAAGTAGCAGGTTCTGACGGTTGGGGTCCTAGTTGATGCGGGTGACCTGTGGGGGCAGACTCTGGCCGGCTAGTCCCATGAGGGGCCGGCGCTCTGAAAGAGTCTGTTTGTAAGCTCTTTTCTGTTAGCTTCTGTTTATTTCCTTTTATTGGAGGAAGTGGAAGAAAGAAGAAAATTAGAGATGCTTCTAATCTCGTGTGCATAGGTTAGCACTGAACTTTAATTTCTCCTTCAATCACTATCCATATTGTTGCAGTCATTTTGAGACAAGATCTCAGACCGAACTTGCGGTTCCAGCATTTGGTTAGACTGTTCGGCCACTGCGACCTGGGGTGCAGGTAGAGGAGTGTCCTTCTTCCCCTACCTCTCCACACTGATTTTACAGGTGCATCCTGGGTCTGAACTCAAGTCTTCACGCTTGAATGACAAGTGCATTACTGACGGAGTCATCTCCCTGGCTCTTCCTTTTTGTTGAGAGTCAGCAGGATCTTGAGCTCTGACTCCTTGCAGATTCTTGGCATTGTATATATCCCATGAGCCTTTGCCCACAGGTCCACCCTTGGCCTTGTATATATCCCGTGAGCCTTTGCGCACAGGTCCACCCTTGGCCTTGTATATATCCCGTGAGCCTTTGCGCACAGGTCCACCCTTGGCCTTGTATATATCCCGTGAGCCTTTGCGCACAGGTCCTAAACTTAGGCTTCAGCTCTTAGAGCCACAGCATAAAATATGATTTGGAGGAGGGCCTAATGGGGCAAAATCAGAACATTATTATTAGACAAAAGATGAAATGCTTAAGCCAAGATGGCCTTATTAGCATTATTATTTTTATTATTTTTTTGACTAAATGAAAGCTGAGCAGACCCGTTTCAACAGTTCTCAATGTAGGAATTCCCTCAGCCCCGTTTGATTGCCGTTTGTTGAAAAGTTTAATGTTTTTGTAGGCAATTCATGATTTCCTTGTGGAGCAGCTCGAGAGGAAGTGCGCAGGAGCCTAGTGTTTTCATTCTAGGATGGTGGAGATGCTTTCCCCCTGAAGGATACAAACCTGCGGCGGAGCTTGGGCAAGAGAGACGGCTCAGCTCTTCTGCGAGTCTCCATTGCACGTCTCCCTTTAGGAGAGCAGAATAGAATTTCTCACGGCTTCATGTCTCCAGGAAGGAAGACATTTTCCTTTAGGCTATAATTGTACCTAATTTCCTTCTTCTTCCCTTTATGTATTTATTTTCCCTATTAATCAGACGAAGGAACTGGGGAGCATCACTTTGGGAGGAAGTTAATGTCTTCCTTTAAAATCAAAATCTCAACATAAATGTTTGCTTTCCCAAAAGGAACCCCACCATTCAGCATGCTGGTTAAGGCTCTAGAAGTGAGCATGGATTTGTGGGTGCCTGGCTGTTCAGTGGCATCAAGTTGCACCCAAAAGGAGCATTTGAGGCTGTCATTGAGGAGTCCCTGCCAGCCGGCAGGGCCAGGGGCTGTCCTCCACCATCTGGATTTGGTTAACTCTCTCTGGGCAGCAGGGGTGACTCTCATTTCCTCCAACCAGTAATGTTATATAGGCAGCGGGCCTGAGCTGCCCTGACATAATTGAAAATTATGTGTATTGTAGGCTCAGAGCGCTGAAATGTAGGCTCATAAAAATATGCGGTGCAAGGTAGCCTATGGAGATCGGAACACAATGACGCTTTTATGTGTGCTAAGAATTAGAAGTCTCTGTGTTGATAGTGCATTCTGAGTGTGACAGTTCTTGCGTGGGTTCCTCAGGGCTAGCCTGTCACCTTAAACCAAGCCTACATGTTCTAATTCAATAGAGCTGGCATCAGGAAGCAATCAGATCTCCTTTACAGATGGTCAGACATGAAAACGCCTCCACTCATCAAACCCTCCCGTTGGACCGTAGCAGGAGGTGTGGGTGTGTCTGTTCGGCCTTGCAGTTTCTTCTGTGGGTTCTTGTGAGATGGAGAGGTCGTGCTGGCCAGTGTTCATTTTTGGTTGGCCTCAAGGAAATGACTCTATTGAGTGGTTTTGACCGAGGCAGCCCCTGTAGTTATGTGGCAAGTGTGAATGGGAAGAAGTCAGGGTGAGACAGGGCAGAATAGCTTCCCAGAGCCTCCTGGCTCGGAGTCAGGGCTGAGGATACCTTGGGAATTCTGTCTTCAGTGGTTTTAAACTTAGGATTATCCTGGCTCCAGTTTGGAAGTGGTTTGGTTATAAAGATGAATGGGAGGGTCTTGCTAGGATTCAATGCCTGGAATCCTAATTTCCTTCAATATTCGGGCAGATCTATTTTTCTGTCACAGATACGGCAACCCCTTTGATAAATGGCAGCTAGAGATCGGTAGAAACAGCTTTGGTGGAAGATCTTGTCAGGATAAAGCTTCACCAGAGAGGGTTTTTGATAAAAGTCTCAGGCTGTAGAAGATGAACCCACCACGCGTGGATCTAGGCAGGAAAAGCAGACGGCAGCTGATGGGCCCCATCACCCCGCCTTAGGCGTAACCACGTTTGGTTTTAGTTTGCCAAACAGGCATGTCTCTGAGCAACATGCGCTTGTTTGCAGATACCTTTGACCTCTCAGTTCCCACAAGGCGTCTGAGCAAAGTTTCTTCCTGGACAGTCCTTTGCTGCCTGGTTTTTCTACAGAAATACTAATGGCATAGCCACATCTACTTGGTACAGTAATGTTCCAGAAACTCAGTCATCTTCCTTGGCATTACCTGGGCGTGGCTGCCCATATTCTGCTTTGAGCTAGCGGTATGTGTCCTACCTGCCTCACCAGTGTGCGCTTCCCAAGGGCAGACATGTTGCGAGCCTCCTTATTCTCAGCAGGGTCAACGGACACAAAGCAATTTTCCATAGTGTGTTCATTGACTGCACAGTCCTGGAACTGAGTAGGCAAAGGTACTCGCCACCAAGCCCCATGGCGTGAGCTTGATCCTTCGCACTCTCGTGGTGGAAGGAGAGAATGGACTGCCTGCCGTGAGTTGTTCTCTGACCCCCTCCTGTGACCCACGATGCCCCCTCCACGTGCATTCATTTCTATAAAATGAATATTAAGACTAGTCATTTTTCTTCAAATCTCTGGAACGAGGAAGACTGCTCTTTATGTGCCCTCTAAGCAATACTGATGCACAGGAGATTTAGGATTGTGACGGCTGCCACTGATGTCCTTACAAGAACCCTGCCCAGCTTTCTCTGCGAAACTGTGATGACCCAACAAAGTCACATGTCCTTAAGAGACTCGGAGCATCTCCATGCTGAACAAACTGCTTCACCTCAGTTTCCCCATCTGTAAAACTAAAGAGGCCTTAGGCCAGTTGATTCTGCGCCATCCTCGGACCGCCGCTCTGTTGATTTCAACAGAAGTAACTGGTTTTGTGCTGTCTCCTGCTCCGGAGAACTTCGGGGAGGGATAGGATATATTGACCCATCCATTTATTTTACTCTCACGCTAATTCTGCCCAAATGGAAGAATTGCGCTGTTCTTTTGAAATGACTGTGTAAATCGCACTGCGCCCTGGGTGTGTGTCTACTGCCATGAAGTACTTCAGTTGTCCATGTCTTGTGTGGTCATGACTGGGCACACTCTGCGTGTAAAGGAAGGGAAGGATGACACTGTTTGAAAGATGAAGGCTGCCGGAAGAGCAGCTTGGTCTAGGGGGTCTTCTAGGACGTTTCTGGCTGAGGTTCTGTTTTGGCTTTCTGTCTTTGCCTCTTCTTTTCTCCCGTGCACCCTTCTTTCCTCCACTGCCCCTCTCAGGCCTCCATCACTTCCCTGTGAAGAAGGTTGTGCTATTGAACCCCCTTTCCAAGAGCCACCCCGTAACTTACATTCCAAAGGCAAGACTGTGCTTGTTAGTGACGTTAATTTTCTGCATTTGAACTTAACTCATACCTTTTCCTTTGCATGTTTTTAGATTGTTCTTTTCTTTCTTTTTCACTTTCTGAAGTAAACAATGCACAGTGCGTATTTCTTGGTAACCAACTCGCCTCCTCTGCTTCCCTGAATTAATTGTTTCCCTTTATCCCCAGTATCTGCAGATGAAATGGCCACTGCTCGATGTCCAAGCAGGAAGCCTCCAGAGCAGACAAGCCCTCAAGGATGCCCGCTCACCATCGCCCGCACACATCGTGGTGAGTGTGTCCCTCAGTGGCACCCCTTTCTTGGGGGCAAAGAATAGATGCTCTCTCTCTCTCTCTCTGTCTCTCTCTCTCTCTTTCTTTTTCTTTTGATGATGAAAACTTGTATTTGCCAGTTCTTTAAAAAAATGTTTTTCTGGAAATTAGCTTTGAGTATGGTCTGTGTGACAAGCTATTCCTCCCCCGTGATGGTACCACAGTGATTGTCACGAGGAAATTTCCCGAGTCGTCCTTCCCCACACTGCTCTGTGTTTTGGGTTAGAAGCTAGACTTGTGGGCGTCTGTTGAGAGGATGCATCCTCCCTGGTTCAGGGGGAAGCTAGAGATGGTTCTGAAGCAGTTGTTTAGAAAAAAAATGCAATTTAGGGGAAACAAGGCTGCAAGAAAGATGTGGGAAAAAAGGGAGTCCTTGGTCTGAAATTTTCCACCCACCCCATTTATCTTGATACGTACTAGAGAGTAACACTCTACATGAAGATTGACAAGTGATCTGAGCTGCCTAGAGTAGAAATGAACTTAGAAAGGCCCAAATTAAACTTAATCCGTGTACCCACAGCTTTGAAAGCACGTGGGCTCACACAGAAAACATTTGTTTTTGCTCAGACTACAGCATCAAGTGTGTGTCAACATATATTTTTAATGCACTTTCCTGGCATATCGTAGGCTATGAAAGCCAATAAATTAGCCTCCCGAGAAGGTAGCTCAGCCTTGTTAGAATATCTATTTCCTTCTATATATTTATATCATGAGCTGGACCTCAGACATTTGAAATAATTAATGAAAGACATATTTTTATAATGAATTCATGACAGGTAGAATTATGCAAAGCAGGAGATAATTCATACATTTTTTATTTACGCTATCACAAGTGTTACCCATTAGTCTGTTTGGCTTCTGTATTACTCAGACTCTCTAAAATATTGCGAAATGATTTAGAGTAGAAAAGCCTTAAGATGCATTTTGTCAAATTTCAGGCCACCTCCTGATTTGGTAGCTTGGTCTAATTGATTATATATTATTTAATGAGTTAGGCCTCAGTTGTATGTGTGTATATCAGAGCATAATTTATTTCTGTAAAACCGCATTTGGAACCTTGATTGGAAATGTCTTAACTTCTCATGGTCTAAATAAGGCATGGGGAAGAAGGCTGACATTTACTGTAAGTCTTCCCTCGTCCAGCCCCGCAGTCAAATGAATGCTGGCACTTCTGCATGTCCTGGGATGTCACGATGAGGGCTGGAGGTGATAGCCTTAGATAGCTTTAGGCCCAATCTGATGTCAGGAGAGGAAACTGAGGCCCAGAGATGCCTTAAGTGAACTGCCCAATGTCACACAGACGTAGAAGCTCGGGCAAAGGCTGGATCCAGCTCTTTGTGCCTTTTTGGGACCTTCTGGTACATTCTCTTTTGTGAGAGGTGAGAGCAAGGCTGGCGGCCGGCTCTTTCGTTGACTGTAAGCTGGCTGGCCATCAGCAACTGACAAGAGTAAGGGGTGAAGAAGCTGCCGGTGTGGGTGCTGATTCAGGTTTCTCTGGAACATCAAATGCCATGTTAAAAAAAAAAAAAACAAAAAACAAAACTTCACACATGGTTATGGGATCCAAGCATGTGATGCTGGTAGGGTTTATGGTTTCCTAAGCCGATGCATTCCCCCAGCATCTGCCGAGACTTTGGAATTGATTTCCCTCCCCTTGGAAGCTCTCCTTAGAAGTTTCCCCACATTTTACCTGCAGACAAGGGAGCTGCCTCTGCAAGCCTACCCCAGTTCAGAGTGCTCACAACTCTGGTAGTGAAGGATCATAGGCCATAGCAGCACTGAGCAAGACCCTCATCCAAGTGTGAGTGGTCACATCTGTCCCCTCTTGCTGTCCTGCTTAAATCCGGTAAGAATAGCTGCCGCAGCGGGGATCGTCAGAGTCTTATTTCCTTGTGTGGAAATGGACAGTCTGTAGATGGTGGGGAAGCATCTTTGCAGAACCAGTGTGAATCTTGGCAAGGAACTCAGAGGGGAAACTGAGGCTCCTTTTCCTCTACTGTTTTCTAGAAGGCACATGTACCATATGTCCACCACTTGGGAGTACCCACGTCACCTTTAAGGTTGGCCGTGGTCACATAGCCTTGTTTGCTGACTGCTGTGCCCTTAGGGACCTGGGGATTAGTCATCTGGTGGAGGTTAAAAGGTGTCCCTGGGAGCTGAGGAGAAGGGAAAAGTGCTAAGTTTGGTCAAAAGGAGACCACATTTGGAAAATGCTTAATTATCTTCTCACTGGATACGGAGCTGTGTGTCAGCCTAAACCACCCACACCACAGTGGGCGCAGTGGCTGAGTCAGCCCAGAGAGCTTTCTGCAGTGTGGCTCATGCATCATTTGGGTTTCTGTATGGCTTCACGGTGGCCGGAGGGGTTTGTGTTTGTGTTTGGATTTGGTCACGAATGTCAGCTTTCCTCTTCACCCTCCGGTTTCCGTCCTGTTAGACACAATGTTGTCATATCATAGCACAGAACCAGACGCGTTTCAAAATAGCCTTCTACGGACTGTTTCCCAATTTCTCTGAAATCTGGATTATTGTAACTCGTGGGCCGAGCTGTTTCCAAACGACTTCTGATGTTTCGCTGTACAAACAGGGAAGTGTTGGGGTTCCTTGTCACTCCCTTGAGGTCGTGACTATCAGATTGCTCAGGAACCTGCTTTCCCCAGAGCCTCCACCTGGAAGGGAATCCTCACCTGGGAATTTCAAGTATTTATCCCGAATGTATTAATCTGGTTGAGTTATTTTCCCCCCATGTGGTGGGAGGTTTCCATGCCAAATGAAGTTGATGTGTGGGGGGCTGGAGAGATGGCTCAGCTTTCATTTACTGATCTAACAGAGGACCAGAGCTGGTCCTCCAGAACCCAGCGACTGGGTTTAGGCGACTCACAGTTGCCTGAAACTCTAGTTCCAGGAGGTCTGATACCAGCTTCTGGCCTTCATGGGTACATGTAGACACATTACTCACACAGCACACACGCTAATGTAATAATAATAATTAATAAACAACCTTAAAAAGTTAATGTGTGGAATGAATGTTTATGTTAGGACACAGGTGTGTCCCCACACCTAACAATGTGTGTTCATTCATCCATTGCCTGGTACTGGGGTTAGAACCGGAGGCTTTGCTCAGACTAAGCAAACATTTTGTTACTGAGCCACAATCTAGTCCTATCCAAGAATGTTTAAGCTGACCCCCCCCCCAAATATCCCATGCATTTTTTGCAGCATCTTGTTTGTTATACCCTGGTGATTCCCAATCTGTGTTCTGAGAAGAAAAGAAATCATTTCCTTGTTTGGCTGCCTGAAAACTCATCATTCCTGCAAGGAATCAGTCCTCGCTCCGTCTTCCCCATACCCACTCTGTCCCACCACCCAAGCCAGACTTTGTAAAACCTCAGAAATGCCAAGAAGCCCATTCTAAGACCCTCCTCTCTCCAATTCCATTTTCTCATTTGTTCCATTTTGCTTTCTCTGGCATTTCTGAAATTTATATTCTAATTCTTTTTTTCCCCTCTCACAAGTCGAAGGAGGAAGTGCAGGCCTCTGCTGGGTGGTAGTGTCTCAGGCAAGGCTTGTACAGATTGCCTCCAGCTCCTGGTAAGCGGTGGGGTTAGGACGTGCTCCCCGGGTACCACCCCCAGTGCCTTTGCTATACAAAGACCTTCATTTAACTTTCTTTGTACCCAGAAAAGAAAAAAAAAGATTCTAGACCCAAAATGGTGGTATTTTGGTCTAGCATGTGTCTTACAACCCAGTAAAAAGGCTTCAAAAGTTTTTACAATTTTATCTCGGGGGTTTCCTTTTGAAGTCAGCGTGGAGTTTTACCTTGGGGTGGATTCTTCCTGTCTCTCTGTCTTGGGTGTTTTGTTGTGTAATGAGCATCCAAGAGTGGGATGGGAGAGCAGGCTGAATCCTAGGAAGAAAGTCTGCCAGACAGTGGTGATACACATTTTTTTTTTAATTGCTTAAATGTTGATGGCAAATGGAAATCTTACAAAATGCAACATTGCCAGTAGGACTTCACACAGGGCCTCTGCCCTCTGCGCTGACATTTCCAAGGGACACAGGGCCCAAGGAACTGGGAGCTTTTGTTTCTACAGAATCTAGGAGGACCTACTCCTTGTTAATTAAAAAATGACCTCAAGACCATTCTCTTTGTAGCTAAATATGTGTGAAACCTATTTTTTTTTTAATGTTCCCATGTTTACGGGGATCAACTAAATGCCAGGAGGCTCTGTGGTAGAAAGATGCCAAGGCTGGAAAAACATTGTGGAGTGTACCTAGAAAGATTACAGGACCCCTGCAGGCATGACCAGGGAACCCTGGCTGTGACTGGAAAGTTGGTGGGGATTATGCTCCTGGACATTTAAGATGGTTAAATGGTCCAGTGGAATAGGAGGGGTGACTTCTCGCATTCTGTGGCATGCTAGGCTTATGACGACAATTGTCACCTTAACTGGGTGTTTCAAAATGGTGAGTCTCGAAGATTCTAAATGTCTTTGTCTGTGTGGGTGTGTATTAAAGGAATGACAGAAGAGAGAATGAATTCGCAGGGTCCAGCTTCTAAGCCTGTCTACAGTGTACATGGGTGGAAATAGCCCATAATAAGCCATATATTTGTACATTTCTTATGAGCTGACAGAAGCTAGAAGTGTTAAAACTTGGATTTGGGAGATTTATGGAAGATTGTGTATGAAACTGTAGAGAGGGTGAGAATAGGAGACCATGCTAGGCAGAAGGAAAAGTGTGTGTAGCTTCTACAGGAAAGAGTAGATGCAGAGAGAAACAGAGACAGCCTGGCTAAGGTAGAGACCTTGGTACTGTGCCATCAAATCTATAAGGCGAATCACACAGGGTTTGGTGATTGTGTTACACGGCAGGGCCTGGGGATGGTGGACAGGGACAGAGTTGTATGAAACCGAAGGAGCCAGGAAGGGGTATGTGGCCGGAGAATGCCATTATCT